AGATCCTCATCCCTGGCAGCTGCCCACATGCACCCCCAAACCACCACTGCCTGCCCTGCAAAGATGGGCAGCAAGGGTGAGGACCCTTCTTGGAGCAGCACTGAGAGGGTCAGACCCCTCTCAGAGCAGTGCAGGGCGATCAACTCCTCTTGGATTAGCATGGGGGGTGTCAGACCTGAGAGCAGGATTTTGGGCTTGGGCCCCTCTTGGAGCAGCATGGGAGGGTCAAACTTGTCTTGGAACAGCATTGAGGGGTCAGACTCCTCAGAGCATTGTCCTGAGGGGGCCCAGGACCCCATAGCACCATGCAGCAGGATCACCTTGGCACAGGTCCCTCTCCTGGGGCTTTCCTTTTGGAGGCATTAGGCAAAAGCCAGTATGCCAGTACAAGGCACAGTGGCTTTGGCAGTGCCAGTGGCATTTCCCAGCCACGGCTCAAATTTCAGGGTGTCCGTATGGGCTTCTGGCAGAGGTCTGTGCTGAAGGGAGGAAGAGGAGGAGAAAGGAGGGAACACCAGAGTCACCCCATGGATGCTCCCAGCTGCTCCAGCCATCCACTCTCTGCTTCTATTGGCTCTGTCACAACACAGAAGTTGCCACTCAGGGTGCCACACTGTACCAGTTTAGTCCACCTGATGGCATAGCTGCCTAGTGGCAAAACTAAGAGTACTGTGAGCATCCCCCACAGGCTCTCTGCTTGGTCCCTGGGGACACTGTCCCAGAAAATCCCTGTAGCTCATTTGCTGTGTGCTCAGGATGCCTGGTAGAAGTTTGCCCATATGATAGTCTCAGCGAGGTCAGTGTCATGAATTGGTATTATCCCACATTTCCAGCACAGCAGGGAGCAAGCAGCAGAGGTTGGTGGTGTATGGGAGCTGCCCTGGGAGGGCAAGTCCCTCTCCGTCAGCCTCAGGGAATCCCTGGGGAATGGAGGGAGGGATGCTCCTGGTTATGGGGCAAGGGCTAGGTGCTGTAGGGGCTGGGAAGCCAGGCCTGTTCCCTCATCCTGTCCCCTGTGCTGGGCCACCCACGGCGCCACAGGAGCTGGAGCTGATGGAAAACATCTTGACGAGCAAGCAGGACGAGAGCTGGGAGCAGCGGGGCCCCCGGGCCTCCTTCAGCCGCCAGGAGCGGAGCCGCCTGCTCTGGGAGGACGTCAGCGTTATGGAGGAGGATGCCACCAAAGTCACCGCCCTAAAGCTGAGGCTGGATGAGTCCCAAAAAGTGCTGCTCAAGGAGCGGGAGTGAGTGCTTGGGGTGTCATCCTGGCGGGTTGCTAACCAAGCCCAGCCCAGCCCCCACTGGGATGGGATGTCCCACAGGGTCCTGCTGGCTGTCACCAGCATTGCCTCTCCCCAGGGACAAGCTGGCGCTCAGCAAGAGCATCGAGAAGCTGGAGGGCGAGCTCAGCCAGTGGAAGATCAAGTACGAGGAGCTCAACAAGAACAAGCAGGAGGTGATGAAGCAGGTGAGTGAGGTGCCTGGGGAGCAGGGGTGCCCCAGGGTGTGCCCTGTGCCTTGGAGGGTGGCATGTCCTGATGGTTGGACATGGTGGCCCATGCAGAGGTTGGGTGGATGGGTGCAGACAGGGCTCAGGTGATGGAAGGTGTGTGCTCATTGCCCACCTTGGGTGCTTTGTCATCCCACAGCTCAACATCCTGAAGGAGATCCACCAGGATGAGCTGGGGCGCATCTCTGAGGACCTGGAGGACGAGCTGGGTGCTCGCTCCAGCATGGACAAGAAACTGGCCGAGCTGCGTGCAGAGGTGAGGCTGAACCCCAATGTGGGCAGTGAAGGGAGCAGCAAGGGGGGGGTCCCTGCTACCCCCTGGCCACCCCATGTCCCTTCCCAGATGGAGCGGCTGCAGGCAGAGAATGCAGCTGAGTGGGGCCGTCGGGAGCGGCTGGAGACAGAGAAGCTCAACCTGGAGCGGGAGAACAAGAAGCTGCGGGCTCAGATTGAGGACCTGGAGGAGGTGCTGGCTCGCAAGCGGCGCCAGACAGCCAGTGCACTCGACACCGACCTCAAAACCATCCAGGCCGAGCTCTTTGAGAAGAACAAGGTGCCATGAGGGTGGTCCTGTCCCCCACCACCACATCCCTGGGTGACGCAGACATGGGGTTCAGCATCCCCAAGGACTCCCTCAAGCCCAAAGTCTGCCACCACCTTTTATCTAAGGGATGGTGGTGGCCCCATCCTTGCTCCATCAGCTCCTGGGTCATGGGGTGGGGCAATGGGAGAGATCCCTGGGGAGGGAGAAGGGAGCACCAGGTGGTGGGGGTGGCTCTCCCCTGCTCAGCCCCTTGCCCCGTGCCTACTGCAGGAGCTGGCTGACCTGAAGCACATCCACACCAAGCTGAAGAAGCAGTACCAGGAGAAGATGGCAGAGCTGGCCCATGCCAACCGCCGCGTGGAGCAGCACGAGGGAGAGGTGAAGAAGCTACGCCTGAGGGTGGAGGAGCTGAAGAAGGAGTTGGCCCAAGCTGAGGATGAGGTGGGGAAGCTCATACTGGTGAAGGGGGTTGGGGTGGGTGGTTCTGCTCCCTTTGTGACTGTCTACACCACCATCCTATCCCATCCTGCAGCTGGATGAGGCACACAACCAGACACGGAAGCTGCAGCGCTCACTGGATGAGCAGACAGAGCAGAGTGAGAGTTTCCAGGTGCAGCTGGAGCATCTGCAGTCCCGGTGAGTGAGGGGCTGGGGTGGGCTGATGTGGGAACCAGCAAGGACTTATGGGTGAGGTGATGTTCTCCTTCCCACCATCCCTCAACCAGCATCCGCCTTATTGAACCCTGGGCTAAGTGTGGTCAAAGTGCCTCCAACATCCTTGAAGGGTGCACAGCCATCCTTGAGCAGCCTTCACCCTTCTGCAAGCTGGTGGCATTCATCTCCCAGTTAAACCAGCACAAGGCTGCACACAGACCAGTACAGCCCAGTTTTATGCTGCTTGGGTTTGCACACACTAAGGGCCAGAGCAGGCTCCAAGCATTCCACACCAGTTTGGGGAGGTGGGAGCTGAGGTTTATTGCCCTTAAAACTTTTCCTGGCCCTGCTTTGCTTCTCCAGCAGTAAAGAGCTGAAATGGCCACGGGATCGATGCTGCGGCTCTGGGAGGCACTGGGGGTGGTGTTTATAATCATCCTTTATGTTATTGGGACATCTGCATTAAATCATGGAGGAATAATGGAGGTTTCATTCCCTCCCTGCCGCTTCCCTGTGTGCTCCCCCCTAAATAATTCATACTTTCCAGTAAAGTGCAGCAAACTAGTTGGATCTCACTAAGTCCTGTACCTTTGGATTTCAAATTTGCTTCATAAATTTTCCTTGATGAATTTTCACACAAGGGCAAATTAGAAGCTAAAACCACCACAGGCTCCTGGGAATGGGGACTCCTGGCTGTTTGGGGGGAATCCTTATTTTGGGAGGAACAACTCCTCCCTGCTCTGCATTCCCATCTGGATCTGAGATGCCCAGTGCCGTGGTGTCTAACCCTGGAGGGTTTAGCCTGTGCCCTGCTTGTGCCAAGCACGATCCGTGGCTCCTGGGTCCCACACCGGAGGGTCGTCCCCAGGCTTGGGGGGCTGATGCTGCACCTGGAGCTCACTGGGGGCCACAGGAAGGGGTTCCCCGGGGTGCAGACATGCTGTAGGGTGCAGGGGCTGTGCCCCTCCACCCCCACCCAGCAGCTGTCCCTCGGCAGGCTGCGGCGGCAGCAGAGTGCTCCACTTTTCGGCAAGATGCGCAGCACACGCTTCGGCCCTGATGACGCCGGGGACGGCACCAGTGACCCTGATGAGGATGAGGACCTGCAGATCCAGGTGCCCTAGAGCCCAGGGCCAGTGCCACCTCCGTAGGGACGTCCCACAGTGGTCCTCTGCACTCAAATGCCTGTCACCCAGCTGTGCGGTGACCCTCATATAGATGAGGAAACTGAGGCACAGAGCAGTGGGGAGGAATTTGCCCAGGGATGCTCCAAACTCATTGCCTCTTGGACAGTATTGGATGCCGCTC